GAAGTGGTGGCCTCCCAGGCCCTTCCATGTATATAGAAGGAGCCATTCATAATACATGTGCAGAACAGGAAGACATTCTAAGAACACCAGCTGAGTATGAATAATTAACACATTAAAATTCTAGCCTAGTTATTGGATTTCATACAAAACATCCTGCCTCTGCTTAGATACCGTCACTCCAATATCAGCTGAAAGTGCTTTGCATCAGCAGAGCTTCAGAGTTAATTCCTGTGATGGACCAACTAAGAGCACAAAGAGAAGCAGCTTATGTTAAACCAACCGACTGGCGCTGTCCTCAGTTCATACGGAGGGGGTGGGGGTGGGGGCAGGCAAAACCCTCCCTGAATGCAAGGGATGGTCACTGAATTTGAATGAAGTGATGTATTATGCAATAGTCAATATGAGCAATAGAAAATCTCTGTTGCTTTTAAAGCTAGACTATTTCATATGTCTAGAGACAAAAGTGTACCTAGGCTCCATTGTGCTCATTTTTAAAAAGTAAAGGTAAAGGACCCTTGAACAGGCAGCTATGGGGTGCTGTGCTCATCTCGCTTTCAGGCCGAGGGAGCCGGCGTTTGTCCACAGACAGCTTTCTAGGTCATGTGGCCAGCATGACTGAACCGCTTCTGGTGCAATGGAACACCATGACGGAAACCAGAGCGCACAGAAATGCTGTTTACCTTCCCAGCACAGCAGTACCTATTTATCTATTTGCACTGGCATGCTTTCGAACTGCTAGGTTGGCAGGAGCTGGGACAGAGCAATGGGAGCTCCTCCATTGTGGGGATTCAAACCACCGACCTTCTGATTGGCAAGCCCAAGAGGCTCAGTGTTTTAGATCACAGCGCCACCTGTGCCCATGTGCACTGACACACATACACACTGAAGCATGAGCATACAGCAAGTGCAAATATTTCATCACCCTGAAGAATAGGCATCCTAGGAATGTAGGAAGTTGTCTTCTACCGAATCAGAACACTGATCCATCTAGTTCAATCTTGTCCACACCGTCTGGGAGGGCCTCTCTAGAATTATAGTTGGGGTCTCTTGCAGCCCTACCAGGAGGTGCCAGGGATTGAATTTGGACCTTCTGCATGCAAAGCAGATGCTATATCACTGAGCTGCTTGGAAGCAGTCATTGAGATGTACTTGGAAGAGGTCACACTGGAATTTAAAACAAATACATGAATTAATTTAGGATGAAGGTTTTAAAGTACTGGACCTTTGCAGAGATCCTCTCCATGCTTTCTTGCCACACAACTGGAAACGGCCTAGAACTTCCGCTCAAATAAAAATAAATAAATGTATGTCTGGATGACTGAAAAGGGGCTTTTAAAAGTGGAACCACTGGACACAGATTGAAACCAAAGAGTTTTAATGAGTTCATACATATTATGTAAGACTCTTCCTTTAGTGTACCGGCAGTACACTTACTTGTACATGAAAGCGTTTCATAATAAATAATTTAAATGAAACAATTGTCCCATAAATGACTGGAGGCCATTTTATAATGCATTATGCTTGAGTTTATATGGGAATATTTACTCACTAGTTCAAAATGGACTAATGTGAGAGAGTGAGATGTGCTCCTCTTACCTTCAATCTGCAGACTTCAATCTGATACATTTACGAGGAATATTTTACAAAGCACCCAGCAAAAATGAACTAAATCAGTAATTTGTGGCCCTCTAAATGTTGCTGGACTACAACCCCCATAATCTCTGACTGTTGACCATGCTGGCTGAGGCTGATGGGAGTTGCAGTCCAAGTACATCTTGGACCACAAGGACCACAGCTTCTCCACCCCTGAACTACTGTCCATGCTAGTCCCATTCATTTCAATGGTCTTGAATAAGACAAAGTCTTTGTGGAACGGACTCTAGGGTACTAAGAAGAAGTGAGAAACATTCAGAAAATCTCTTTGAGATCTGTCTGACAATCCAACGCTGATCAAAAATTCAGCTCAGCTCCATCGCTGCATTTTTTAGATAAGGAAATGTCTGTGTTTTATTCAAGAAGTTTGGGAGGGGTGAATTAGGAAGAAAAGCGTGTTTTAATTAAAAGGTTCAGCTTCAGTGCATATTCCTGTGGAGTAATGTACTGTGTCAGGCTTCCCCTTCCGTCACCCACTGTGATTAGCACCAGTTCTAGAGAGCGATCATCAGGGTGCAGTCAGGCTCAATGACAACAGCATGTATTCTTCATTCACTTTTAGAGTAGCTGTCTCTTTGAATTATAAAATTTGCTTTTGCTACGAATCGGATACTCTGCACTTCTGGAAGTATAGGTGATATATCCCAAGATTCAGAGGAGACAAGGTACTGTATTCAGGTATGCTATGGAATATCAGCTGCTGGGAGCAACAGCAGGAGGGGGCCACTTTCTTCATATCCTGTTTTGAGGGCTTTATGGAGACTTCTGGTTGACCACTATGGAAAGAGGATGATGGCATCCAGCACGACTCTTCTTATGCTCTTCTCTGACTCAGGTCACATTAGAAGACCTCATCTTTCCTTTTGAAAGAAAACAATTATTAGCTACATCACTGAACAGAATATATGGGGGAAAGTGTTGGTTCAAGGAAAAAATTATAAATAAATGAAGGATGCCAAGATAGGTTAGGGGCAAGTACTCTTTGGTGAGAGAACCCCAGCAGAGATTTAAAATCACAAAAGTAAAACATGGAAATACAGGCTGTCAAATCTTTAAAATATGCCCTTCTAAGTTCCTTCCAAAATTCCACTCTTCCCCTAGTATAGGAAAAGACCACGTGTTTGGTAAGTTACAAACTCTACAAAGGTCAGATTCATGTGCCTTTTCATACAGCAGTCAGAAAAAGTACCTTAGGCAGTAAAACTTGGCTTAATTATAGTGGTGAAAGTTTCTAAATTATTGGTATACAAACTCAAAAGAGGCTTGTTAGAGCCATGTTGTCTGAGCTGGTTGCTGCAGCTCAGACTTCCTCACTTGTTGAGCTTCTCTGGTAGAGTGAAGAAGAAGAAAAGGCTTGATTACCTAGTCCCTCCCAAGGTGAGCTAAGCGGGACAGCTTACTCTAGTTTTAATTCCTTCACGCATTAGACTTAAGCATGTTGGTTATACGAGGCTGATTTATTCCACAAATTACAGTTGGAGCAAGTTCCTGTGTAAATCTCCCTACCCCTACCAATCTTCCCTTATATGAGTATTTATCACCTGTGAACCAGTAGCTTTTGCTAAATTCTTTAGCCTTTGAATGATGGCAAAAAGGAATAAAGGTGTATTGTGGGAAAGCTGCTACTCAGGTATCCACATTGGAGTCCCATGTTTCTTGGGTGGGCCAAGAACTTAGAATCATAGAATCATAGAGTTGGAAGAGACCACAAGGGCCATCGAGTCCAACCCCCTGCCAAGCAGGAAACACCATCAGAGCACTCCTGACATATGGTTGTCAAGCCTCTGCTTAAAGACCTCCAAAGAAGGAGACTCCACCACACTCCTTGGCAGCAAATTCCACTGTCGAACAGCTCTTACTGTCAGGAAGTTCTTCCTAATGTTTAGGTGGAATCTTCTTTCTTGTAGTTTGGATCCATTGCTCCGTGTCCGCTTCTTTGGAGCAGCAGAAAACAACCTTTCTCCCTCCTCTATGTGACATCCTTTTATATATTTGAACATGGCTATCATATCACCCCTTAACCTCCTCTTCTCCAGGCTAAACATGCCCAGCTCCCTTAGCCGTTCCTCGTAAGGCATCGTTTCCAGGCCTTTGACCATTTTGGTTGTCCTCCTCTGGACACGTTCCAGTTTGTCAGTGTCCTTCTTGAACTGTGGTGCCCAGAATTGGACACAGTACTCCAGGTGAGGTCTGACCAGAGTAGAATACAGTGGCACTATTACTTCCCTTGATCTAGATGCTATACTCCTATTGATGCAGCCCAGAATTGCATTGGCTTTTTAGCTGCCGCGTCACACTGTTGGCTCATGTCAAGTTTGTGGTCAACCAAGACTCCTAGATCCTTTTCACATGTACTGCTCCCAAGCCAGGTGTCACCCATCTTGTATTTGTGCCTCTCATTTTTTTGCCCAAGTGCAATACTTTACATTTCTCCCTGTTCAAATTCATCTTGTTTGTTTTGGCCCAGTTCTCTAATCTGTCAAGGTCGTTTTGAAGTGTGATCCTGTCCTCTGGGGTGTTAGCCACCCCTCCCAGTTTGGTGTCATCTGCAAAAATGATCAGGATGCCCTTGAGTCCATCATCCAAGTCGTTGATAAAGATGTTGAATAAGACCGGGCCCAAGACAGAACCCTGTGGCACCCCACTAGTCACTCTTCTCCAGGATGAAGAGGAACCATTGATGAGCACCCTTTGGGTTCGGTCAGTCAGCCAGTTACAAATCCACTGAGTGGTAGCATAGTCAAGACCGCATTTTACCAGCTTCTTTACAAGAATATCATGGGGCACCTTGTCAAATGCCTTGCTGAAATCAAGGTAAGCTACATCCACTGCGTTCCCTTCATCTACCAGGCTTGTAATTCTGTCAAAAACCAGATCAGGTTAGTCTGACATGACTTATTTTTCAGAAATCCATGCTGACTATTGGTGATCACAGCATTCCTTTCTAGGTGCTCACAGACTGTTTGCTTAATGATCTGCTCCAGAATCTTCCCTGGTATTGATGTCAGACTGACTGGGCGGTAATTATTTGGGTCCTCTCTTTCCCCTTTTTGAAAATAGGGACAACATTTGCCCTCCTCCAGTCTGCCGGGACTTCGCCTGTTCTCCAGGAATTCTCAAAGATGACTGCCAGTGGTTCTGAGATCACATCTGCCAGTTCTTTAATACTCTTGGATGCAGTTCATCTGGCCCTGGAGACTTGAATACATCTAAACTAGCCAAGTATTCTTGTACTATCTCCTTAGTTATTCTGGGCTGTGTTTCCTCTGCTGAATCATTTGCTCCAAATTCTTCAGGTCGGGCATTATTTTCTTTATCGGAGAAGACTGAGGCAAAGAAGGCATTGAGGAGTTCAGCTCTTTCTGTGTCCCCTGTTTGCATTTCACCAAACAGGGGACACAGAAAGGGCTGAACTCCTCAATGCCTTCTTTGCCTCAGTTTTCTCCGATAAAGAAATCTTCTCCGATAAAGAACTTAAGCCAGAACTTAATATACAAAGAATTTCACCTAGACATTGGACCTGGACCTGGGTGCTGACCCGAGGGTTGAATAATGGTGAGAATGAATCCAAGCTCATGACGGTGGTATAATGTAGCATACAACACTTTTATTGTTTCACTTGAGTGGTATATATATAGTACAACACCTTTATCATTTCATTGTCAAGTAGGAAAACTGGCTATTGAAGAACATTAGATGATTCGTATCATTTTACACCTTCTGTAGCCTTATTCCTTTAGGAGACGTTTGGCTGTGAATACAGAAGAATGTCTCTCACTCTGTCTTTCTCACAGCTTAATAATAGGTTGTCAAAATGTTTAGTTTTTTAAAAAAATGTAAGTAGGGGCTTCTCTGTTTGTTGTTTGTCATGCTGTCTTTAAACACTGAGTTGAGATCTTGCATTTCTGCCAAATTTATTTTCTCAAGGTATGCACATATTGAAGCTCCTGGCCATTTTAACTGTTTTCTTGTGAGCATGCAGATTGCTTCATTCTTCGCTCTTCAAGGATGTCTGTATACCAGGTGCACTGGGTACTGAGGTCTAATTTCCTGGTGTCAGGAGCAGCTGACCTCTGCCTCATGTTGCTTAGGTCACTACAGCTTCCTAGTAAAGAAACTTCCAGACTGACTCCACCCAGACTCTTCCTGCGCTGGAAGCTGTATTAGAGGGCTTGTTTCGACAGTAGAATTTAACTTGAACAACAGTGACTATCTGGTCTGTCTCTTCTTTGGTCCTGTTTCGCCCTCTGATCCCATTCTCAATTCACTCCAAATTATTGCCCACAGCCAAGTCCTCACACCTGCCAATACATCAAGTAATTAGTTTTAGTGGAAGCAGTTTTCCTATGGCATACTGGGACACAATCTTTCTGCAATTGTTCCTCTTTAGTTACTGGAAAGATATCAATCCATCTTTAAGATCCATTAGAGTGTTGTATTCAGGTTAAAATGTTGGTGGGCTTCCTTGGAATCAGTTCTGAGATTATATCCCATGTATGCAGCGTGATCAGGTCACACAGTCAAGGAGTTAACGTGAAATGGAAGGCAATGAAAACCAAGACTCTTGCCTTATATCAAGGCAGGTTAACAAAGTATCATGACCATTATCTCTGATAAAGTTCAGAATGCATTGCTACTGCACAATGATCCAAGCAGGTATGGCTAAAACCCTGGGATTCTCTGCTTCTGAAAACAAGATGTTTTGATATGTGCTAAAATAATTACACTGATTTAGCCTTAGTCATGAAGAAAGTTGTAGTCACCTCAGAACTATTGGAATGTGATGACTTGTCAGGCCTCCACAGTCATGCCCTGTAGCAAGGTCCTCTTTCAAGTGTGGGAGATGAGCAGCAGAAGGGCTGGAGGTCTTGCAGTGGATCAGACACACTAGCAGTAAGGGGTCAGAGGCAAGAAGGGAGTCAAGAGATCCTGGCAGAAGGTCAAGTTCCAAGACAGCAAAGAGAGGACTGAACAGGCCAGAAGCAGGCAGAGGCTCAAAGGCAAGTGTCATGATGAAAATACTATATGCAGAATCCTGATGCATTTTCTGAGAACCAACTCTTCATCAGGATATTAATGAAGGGTTTCTTGTGAGTTATCTAAGGCTGCAATTCTTTACACACTTACCAGGAAGTGAGTCTCCTTGAATTAATTAGGCATTACTTCTGAGTAGACGTGCTTAGGATTGCACTATAAGTTAGTTACTCTTAGGTCCCGTTGAAATCAATTTGGAAAAGTTAGTCATCCCTGTATGGGCTTAGCATAGCAGGAACGAGTAAAGCCATTTGAAGGAAAAAAGGAAACTGCCATTCCTGGTAATTAAATTCAGGAGGAAAGCCAGGGTTTATTATGAGGACACGAGATGAGTTATGCTCCAGTATGAAGGATATGTAATGGAAAGCCTGTATTAAAATATAAAATATTCACCATGCATTATGTATAATAGAAATAGTTTCTGTTACGTTAAAACCCTTAATGTGAAATATAAGCTTTTCTCACAAGCCCAGTTGTGACAGGAGTTTCCCCCTTGAAATTGTAACGAATGAACAGCAGTAGATTCATAAAGTATTTGTCCATCCATTAGGAAGCCTAATATGGACTAAGCCAGCTGAAGATTGCTTCAAATAACTCCCAAGAATAGCCTGCCAACACTGTTGAAGCTTATTGTTGTGGAGCTGCATCTCAGCACCACAGAGGTAAATGGATTTCCTGCATCTTACAAACATGCATCAGGAAACAAATGCTGAATTGGCCCCAAATGGAGACCAACTACAAGAGAGCGACGGCATCAGAACCAGATGTAAACCAAACTACAGAAGATGCACAGAAAACTGGGTGAACCATCAAAATGTCCAGAATCAGAAGCTACGGTGGTCCCAGTTTTGAGATACAAGAAAACACTTTGGGTGGGAAGGAAAAATAGGTGGAGAGTGAGAGCGGAAACATGCTCCACCCAAAATAAAATGCAAAAGCACCAGACTGCGGACTGCACCATGTCTATTAACATAATGTGGCCCTAACAGACAACCCACATTTGGGGGGCATTCAGAGGCTCTGATTATGATGTGGCAAAATATGCAGGCAACCTTCCTTCTACTAAATGTGCTCCTACCCTCACCCAGAAAAAAATATTTGGTGGGTGGCGGGTACACAGCTGCAGTGAGCAGTGCAACCAACAAGTGTCAATTCAACTGCACTAGTATTTCTTGCTACTAGTCCATACTGGACTGGCCCATCCATGAAGCAGGCAGAATCCTGTGAGCACCCCACCAGACCTCCTGCTGGGGTCGCACAATGTCAGCATAACCCTAGTAAGAGAAGCTGGGTGGGAGATCTTCCTGTTTTGCCTCAGGCGGTGAAATAGGATGGGCCACTCCTGAATCTGTGGGCTCAATTTTCTGGGAATTGTAGCTCCGTGAGGGGGGAAGACCAGCGCCATGTGCTTCAAATGTGATTTAAACATATAGTGCGTATGCAGCTAGTACATAGCTGTCAACATACAGATTTGAAAATAAGGGACCAGCAGCCTCAAAAATAAGGGATCAGCAGCCAAAATATGGGACTTTCCGGGCACAGGTATGTTCAACTTCTGAGCCCCTCCAAGCCAAAGGCAGAAAGCCCAGCCAGCAGCCAAACGAAGCCTCAAGCGGTGGTTCCCACAGTGCAGCAACCCGGCAAAGGGGATGCAGCAAGTAAAACCACTGTCACCTCTCCGCTGGGAAGCACTGAGCAAAGGCGAGTCCCCAGGCAACGCGACCGATTTGATCGGCACAAGGCATGCAAGCTCCACCCCTCAGTCGTTCTTAGACTCCTTATTGGGTGAGCAACGCAGCCAAGCAACACAGTTGGAGCCTCCCTCCTCCCTGGCCAGCAGGGAGGGAGGGAGAGGAGCTACTTCCTTTGAAATCCGGGAAATTTAAGGGACATCATCAAGAAGGGACAGCAGTGGGACACAGCGCTGGGATAAGGGAGTTTCCCACCAAATAAGGGATGGATGACAGCTATGAGCTAGTATCCCAGTTAATTATTGATCACGTAGGGCACAATTGTTTAATTTGCCCAGAGCCACAATAAAATCTTGGCCTGGCCCAGTTCTGGATAACATCCTTAATCCAAAGGAGAAGTAAAAATTCAGCCCTAAGATTGTTGAGAAAATAAATATATTCCAGTGTGCTATCATCCCCCCCCCTCCAATGAGAGACAGGCAGTTAATAGATAAAGCAAGCAGTGAAGTGGAAACGAAATGTTCCATTTCTATATCGCTGCAATCTGATAACCCCCTCTTTCTACAGAATGCCTTTCAGTTTACCTATTATTTGTGTATGCGTATATATCTCTGCATCATTAAAGGACCATTTCTGGCAAAATAAGCTGCAAATGAGCCCACGTTGCCCTTCAGTGTATCATTTTTGGGATGTCACAAAGATAGATTGAGTTGAACCCTCCATAGTTTAGCCAGTTCTGGGGGAAAAACAACATCCTGCATACACCTAACATGCTTAAACAACATTATTTGAGCCAAAAGTAGTTTTCGCCTTTTTAAGAAAAATGTAAGTACAGATTCAGCTCAGAGGATTGCGGTTTCCATTTTCACGCCTAATACGCCTGTGTAAAATATCTTCACATTTATACAACCATAGGGAAAGGGACGCCAGGCTTGGGCCAGGAAATGAGCAAAAATTGGAAGATAGAAAGATATTTCAAGGGTGACTGGTTTGTGTTGAAAGATTGAGGTCAAGAATAGCCATGGGAAAGAGTACATTATTTCTGTATTCATGAAATACAGCTCACATTGCGGTGAGTGCCCTAATACCACTTCAAAGCTATGGATTCACTGGTATTTCCCACATTAAACATATAAAACATTATATCTTCAGAGAGCTGTGTACACATGCTAGGAAACCTGGTTTGGACTGGGAGCACTACATGCATGTACCAATAGGGTTGCAGTTTTCTAAACACACAGCGATCTTAACTTCCCATAACTACAGCTGCCCAAAGAGGGAGAGCGTATATACAACTGAATGTGTCTTTAATATAAGAGGATTCCTGCTGCATCTGATCAGCTTGTTTTCCACAGTGGCTAACCTGATGCCTTTTCAGAAGTCTCCAACTAGGACTTTGGCGAAACAATAGAGAAGTAAGGAAAGGAAAGTGTAAAATCCAAACTAGACAGTACCTTAGATTCCCATCTGTGAGGATATATATATATATATATATATATATATATATATATATGCACATATTTAAACACAAATTGCCTGTGCGAGGGACCTGATCCTTAGTGGAGAGGCAGGAGAGATTTCACCTATAATCCCAATTCAGATTGGCCCCTCCTCCCACAATTTGCATAGGGGATAAATCCCATAATCCCAACAGAAGATTTTGTTTTCCATATGCAAATTTCCATACTGGAG